GGGGGGAATTGGGAGGGCCTGGTCAATGATTTCTTGTGATACCCGTTCAACCAGCATTGCGCTCACGGAGGGCGAGGGGAGCTCTGACACTCATTCAGAGACGCGGACGGCAGAAGCGAAATGACAGCCCATTTCAGCCAGTTTGGTGACCTCTTTTGAGTACCGTGATCCACGTGAGGGGAAGCTTCGAGTCAGGGGCGGCAAACCCATGTGCAAATCTTCACACTCATCACGACTCTTTATTCAAATATGCTTTTCTCGTGGAACGTGTTCCCGCCGAGACTAGGTATGACCTCCGGCCAAGTGTCCCAGTTCCTTTCCGACCCTTGACCTTCTCCCGAACGCCTGGTTCTATGCACAGATGACATCCACGCTGATCTTGAAGTCTCCTTTTTTTTTTTTAATATTCTTCCGCTGATTTCGCCTCATACACGCCCCTTGGGCTCTACTCGTTTTCTCTTAGGTGAACAAGACGGGGCCCTGCCTCTTCGGCTCCGGCATCACCTCATTCTCAAACTAGTAGGCAAGTCAGCAAAGTGTATGATAAAGATTCTAGGGGATGTGAGTCAATTCCTTACCTCCAGGAAGCCGGTCGCGGCAATCAAGACCATGAATCCTTCCGCCAACTCCTCAATATTCTCCTCCAACGCGCCCTCTCCCTCAACGGTACCGATACCCGCGCTGCGCTTGAGGGTGTGCGTCACCAACATGCGATGCTCTGTCAGGAACCTCCGCCCCTGGAGGACGTTGCTCGAGCCGCGACTGACAATGGCCGCGCCTACGACCTGTGTGACCTTTGCGAGGAGCTCGTAGTGCTTTTCCAGGGCCTTGGGGTTCGAAGGATTGATCTGGAGCTCCGGATCTGCGGCAAACAAGCCCGACGCCTCGATGGACCGGAAGAGGTTCGCGTGCAAGATGTACTTGGCACCGGACTTGGTCTGGGCGAGCTGCAGGAGCAACGCAAATTTTGCGGCAACGTACGTCTCTTGCGCCGCGTTGCCCGTGTGAACAATCTCGTTCCAGTCTTGCAAAATGGTTCGCAGAGAGTCGACGAGAATCCCGATAAAGTTGAGTCGGTTGAGTGTTTCGACAATGTGCTGGTCGTCTTCCTGTCGTCCGAGGTTGACCAACGCGTTGAGAAGGATAAAGGCAGCCGTCTGACATGCGGCGTCGCTGCCGTACGCATCGTCGCAGATGACATTGATGAGTCTCTCTCCGTACATCTGAATCGTCTTGTTTGTCTTCTGGCGGCCGGCGACGAGGAGTCCTTGGTCGACCATGCCCGTCAGGTACCGGTAGCAGATGCTGTAGTACACTGCTCTGAGGTCTGATGAGCCGGACCACTTGCCGATGGCTTGCAGGCAGATTTGGAAGAGCTGGTAAAGCTTGTCGCTGACGAGGCTGCCAATCGCCTGGCTCTCGCGGTCAAGCGAAGGCTGCGCGGTCAAATCGAGTCTGAAAAGGAGGACTCTGGCCAGTTTAGAAAGCTCCATTGCCTCCTCTGGCCGCTCAAATGCCGAAGCCTCCAAGCCAGGTAGGATAGCTTGTAGCGCCTGCAGGTAGAAAGAGGCCTCAGTGGTGCCCTTGAACTCGTTCGATGCAACCATGACGAGGAGCAGGCTTGTCCATGTTTTGAGGACACCCAGGCCCTGTGATGCTATCCGCTTTTGCCGGTTGGAGAAGATGAGATAGTCGATGATTGTCGTCTCTTCCCGTTCCAGGGTGGCAAAATCTTGCGCCGTGAGCACAACACCATCATGTCTTCGCTCGCTACGCTTGAGTTGTAGAATCTCTCTCGCCCGTTCGACGTTGTATATGGCGTTTCCGTGATCGTCTTCCTCGAGGCATGAGCTGAGATCGAGATCCTTGTAAAACTGCAGTGAAGGAAGCGTCTCATCCCAAATGCCGTCTGGCAGCGAAAAGTCGTATAGATCAAATATTGTGGGGATAGGCATGGGTTCGTTATTCTCGCCCACAATCTGGCCATTGAGAGCCTCGAAGATGCGTCGCTTGAGTGACGGCATTCGACTCTGCGAAATGCTGCATAGCTCCATTGAGATGTATTCTAAGCTCATGCTGCGCAAGGCAAGGAAGTCGATAAATGTCGGCGCGCCTTCGGTGAGTGGGAATTGGGGCATGCTGATTTCGTGCTCTTCCCAAAGGAGCTGAGGCTGAATCACCACCTCGCGGAGCAGGAAGTGGAACAAGATATCGTTGTCCCGTAACTCGTCAATGACGAACGGGGCCGACAAGGGCGACGTCCACAAGACACGCAAGATGCGCATACACCTGCTCTTCAAGGAGATGAGCCAGTAACGCATGCACGTGGCATCGCCGTGTGGGCTCTCCAGGAGAAGCCTCAACATGCTATGGAAGAGCGATTCTCTGGCGGCAAAGGTGCCATCGGGAGCTACGGATAACGTGTCGACGCCACAGGTGAATCCAAGGAGAAGGTGGGCAATGGTAGGCTTGTTGGGGCTTGCCGCCAAGCAGCTTGACAAGAACTCAAGGATGTATGTTTTGGTGAGGTAGTTGGGTGATTCGGCGTGTCTAGCAAGGTCGAGCGGCGTCATCAGCTCCGCTGCGAGAGCTCTGGCAATGGCCTCGTGCTCTTCATTCGCCTCCAACGCGACGATGGCTTTGTTGCGATGGCTCTTGCGGCCAGGTGTGGACGACCACGCAGAGGTGATCTTGAAAGATGCCGTCATCTTCTGCAGCAGTCGCAGGCAGGACAGGGTTAATTCCGGATGGCCGAGGCCACAGTAGTTTCCGAGGTCGACAACTAGGCTCAGATGGCCAACGAGGCCGTCTTCAAAGGAGGCGTATGCCGCATTGGCCACAGGAGGCCGTCGGTGATTTGACTGCATCTTGATGATTGGGCGCACAAGATCAAGGAACGTTGCTTGGAGATCCAGCACCTTGGAAATCACCTCAACAGCTCTGAGGATGCCCAAGATGATTGGTGAGGTGGGCGCTGCGTTGCCAACGTCCACTGCGTCTTGGTGAATGGTCTGGGCCAGAGCAGCAAGGACCTTGTCGTTGAACATCCACTCCATGACTCGGGCAAAAGGGTGCAACTTGACGTAGGTGGCCAGGTCCGTTGCGGCCATTGCCGAGTCAATGGGGATGTTTGTCTCGTTGGCAATAATGATGAGGTTTTCGTTGAATGTCGCCAAGCAGGTTGCTGCAAACTCGAGGCAGCTCAAGCGAAGCATTCTCAGCTGGTTGACATCGTTGACTTCTTTGGCCTTGTTCGCAAACACCTTCCCCATGACGGTATCCACGTAGATTTCGATGCCTGGCATGCGATTCGCCGAGCCAAGGTTCTCGGGGAAAGGCAAGCCATCGTTCAGGGGGCTGCTGTCCTCTGGAGGCGCAATGAGCGCGATCAGAAGCTGGATGAAGGCGTGGGGTTCGTCAAAGCCGTGGCAGATGTCGTTACTAACGGTGTCCATGGACACGATCGGCGAGCTCTGGGGCGATCGGTGCTGACTTGGCGTCACAATGTAGGCGCCGTTCATCCAGGCCTCCAGACATTGCCACATAATGTTGGCCTCCTCCTGGGTTTTCCGTGAGATGAGGGCGCGCAAAGCCATGAAAGTGCCTGCCCGCAAGTCCGCAGGGATCGGACTACTGGCAAGCTGGAAGAGCATTTCGACGAGGTTGAAGCTGGGCTCCTTGAGGAGGAATTGCCTGGGGGCTTCGCTTTCGGACGCAAGCTTGGTGATGAGTCGCAAGTAGGACTGCAGCATCATCGTAGATTCCGGCTCGGCCTCGGCCTGGTCGCTGGTGGGTCTACCGGGCCGGTATGTTGATGGAGCTTGCGGGGTCTGGGCCTTCTCTCTGATCTTGTTTGAGAAGAAGACAAGTTCTCTGAATATTTGGTGCCACGTGAGAGACTGTGACCGCCTCATCTTGCCAGAGGCATGGTGGCCTTCGTCCAAGAGGAATTCGTGCGCGGCCGTTGCGCAATCCTCATTGCTTGAAATGGCCTGCAGCATTTCGCAGAACGAACTGACGAGCGGCGTCGATGCTCTCCGTGATGCCCAGTGCATGAATCCAGCCAGATTGCTATCGGGGTCTGACCAAAAGTTCATTGCTGCTTCTGGTCGGCCCTCGTATGCATAGGCAATGATGACCAGGAAGCGCTCCAGATCAAGATCTTGTTCGTGCGTCTGGCTTAGTTGACGTTGCTCGTCCTCCTCCACGCGAAGTTTCCGGAGGACGTCGGGAAGGTTAGAAATGAAGGCGTCGACGAAGACCTCCAGCTGGAGCATCAAGGACGACTGGAATTCCTCTGAAAATGTGATGGAGTCTGAGATGAGCGGAGGCGCCTTTCGTTGGAGCCAGTTGCGCATCGTTATCCTCGACGGGTCGACCCACTCGGGCGTCTTGACATCCGCGGCGATGGAGAGGATGAAGTCGAAAGCACCATCCTTCAACGCCTCTAAAAATTGCTTGGATCTCTGCCTGTCCTCTGGTCGGGTTTTAGCTGGAGCCCGCACGTGGAACAAGAGGGGACTCACCTATGTCCAAATCAACACCTTCCAAGCCCCCGAGCAGCGAGTCGTCCAGATACCACCCGCTGTACTCTGATAGCCACCATGCCTTGACGGCAGCTTGAAGGTACACCAGGCGCCAGGGAGTTGTCTCGTCGGCTTGCGGGCAGATGATTGGGTTGAGTAGTCTCACCATGCTCAGGTTCGAAGCCCCTTCGGTCGAGCCGTAGAGTGTGATGTACGCACCCAGCGCAGGGAAGAGATGTGCTTCAGCCAAAGTCAGCCAATGCAGGTCGTTCACATGAGGTGGTGCACTTACCAAGGAGAATGTCGTACTTGTCCACATTGCTCAGGTGTTGCAGGAAAGCCTTGAAGTCGCCAATTTCGGCATCCCTCTTCTCGATTGCGCGGCACAGGATCATGGAGAGAAGCTCATGCTGCTGGTAAAGGCTGACACGGGAGAACTCAATTGTCTCCATTTCCTCGGGTACTTGCCCACCTCTGCCGTTGATTAGTACGGCTGCGGCCGTCAGCTTGTCGGCAATCTTCTGGAGCCACGTCCTAACGTCCTGGATCGCCGACATGCACTTCGGAATCAACCTCTTTTGTGACGATGCCGTTTCGCCTGGCAGTTTTTGGAAGACGGTCGCCGACAGATACATCTGCACACCGTTGAGGATCTCGGGGTCAATTTCATCGTCGTCTAGCGCGTCGATCTCGAACATTAGTCGTACGCTGTCCAGAGTATATCTTCGTTGTTGGTGAACCCTGATCAAAGCGCATTCGAGCAGCGGGCGGGCGATGGCGATGGGATCATCCTCGGAGTCCAGAAGGCATCGCATAGCATCGATTTCGTTTATTTCGGCTTCGTCGGCGAGACTGAGTACAATTTGTTGGAATTCATCGTTGACGGCGTATTCCTCCTCGTCGATCACGACCTTGCCTGGCGCATCGAGCTGTGTCAGTGTACACGTGGGGACAGGGAGCTGCAGAGCTTCTGACTAACCCGACTTGACAGCCTGACGGGTCTTCTCGTCTCTGGGAGACCGTTGCCATGTCTTTTCGAGCTCCCTCTCGAATATGGCTTGGATGATGGGGTTGTCCAAGGAGTCAACGCCTTCAGGGCGACCATCGCGAATGGCAGCCAAGTCGCGGTGGAAAGCCTGCAGCGCTTCGAGGGTATTCGGTTCGGCCATTTTGAGGAATTGGGCGCGCTATTGCATGGCCTCAAAAGGCTGTTTGTGTCATGGGGTGAGGGGAGGCCGCGAAGCTGTCGCGTTGGCGAAAGGCGACCGGATCTGCTCGTTTGTTCGGTCGTGGGTGGTCTGCGCGAGCGACGCTTCTCGAGATGCCGGGAATTTTAGTGTGGAGCTCAGCAGTGACGGGAGGTGCTCGTCTTTCAACCTTGGAAGTGTGGCTCTCCAGAGGCGCGTGGCCGGTCGGTGCTGTCAGACTCAGTGTCCACGGTTCGGTGGCTGGACTTGTCCAATTAGGTGCATTGGCGGTTGCTGTGTCGAGAAAAATTCGCGGCTCCTGCGGATACTCCGCGCCGAAGTCAACAAGAGACGTACCGAAAGTGTCTGTCTTGGGTAGGTGGTGGGGTTTCTGCCGCAATTTACCGGCAGTCAGGGACCAGGGAAAGTCGCAAGCTGACGGCAAGGTACCCAAGGTGGCGGCGCAAGGAGCTCCCCAGGTCTTGCTGTAGGTACCAAAGAAGGAGCTATGTTGATTGCACTCAGGCTGTGAAGCGCCGCGTCTCACCGAATGAATCTCTGCAAGCCCATGAAGAGTCATACCTGAGCCCTGCGTGACGACACATGCAAATTTTTGACAAGTCATTGTCATACTGGCAAACGACAACCTCGTGGTGTCTGTCGTTGTGGCTCGTGGAACTTTACGTGACGGCGACGGCGATATTGTCAATGCCGGGCTTTGAGCACCATCGCGACTACTTCATTCATCACCACGCCCACGCCTGATCGCACCTTCATGACGCTTAACGCCAGACGGTGCATTCAAAGTTTTTTAAGCAGGCACTAAGGTACGTACATTGCCGCTGCGCTCCTACCGACTTGCCATTTCCCCATTTCGCCATTGCCATCTTCTCTTCCCACGCATCACCAACATACACTCTCGTGTAAATCATTGAGCTCTAACGGAACCACAGGACAATGGCAATCAGGCCCCGTCAGTCCTAGCAACGATGGCGCCTTCCAAGATGAGTACGAGAGAGATCACCGTCAAGGATGCGCTGGGTCAGTAACACTCTCTCCTGCGACCTAGATTCACAATTGACACTGCAACAGATTCAATTTCTGGAGGTACTCTCAAAGAGCGGTCCTCGGGCTTGGATGGTGAGTTTCGAAAGCCTTTTCGTGGCCTCTTGTCCCGTTCCCTCGATGCCTCTTCTGCTCGTTCCTCTCCCCCTATCCGGTCTTGATGCAATTCGAGGGGAGGGCGACAGTGACCCAGCCAAGGGCCAGAGACACTAACAATGATGACAGACCTGATATATCTCCTAGACAAAAAGGGCAAGACGGCCGGTTTGTAAGCACTCCCGTTCCCTATTCCCTTCTGGCTCTCGTTTTGACAAAGGGTGCAGGTCTTCCCTTGCCGATAGGCACTATCACCGCATACTCGAGAGTTTATTCCGATGTGCAATCAACGAGAAACAGAGCTACTTCGGGGGCAAGAGGACGACGGCGGCAGGAGCGGGGAACAGGCTGGCGAAATGCGCCGAGGCACTTCGGCTTGCTGTCAGCCATGGAGCTTCTGCCGGCAAGCTCAAGCGGAAGACGATGCTTGCCGTTATTGACCACGTTACCCAGACTCTGCCCGGTCCGTCTGAATCCGGAGACGAAGCGTACGTGGAGCCGCTATTAAAGGACTATGTCAAGACCATTCTCGCCCTGCTCTCACATCGGTCAAACATCGAGCATCTTGCCACGCTTGGGGCCGACGGTTGGAAGAACTGTGTCGATTTCTGTATTGACGCCGTAGGGGTCTACCTCGACAATGCCGACCGAGACTCTGGCTCCAGAGCTTCTCCAGCACCTGGTACGGCATCGTTGGGCTTCTCTACTGGAAGAAGCACCAATGCCAGCCAGCGGACGGCGGGCCAAATCCATCGCGGTACCGTCCAGGACCTCATCCATTGCATCCACCTCCTGGTCCGACCGCCCAACGCGCCGCTACACGAAAGATCTAGGGATCTATGCAAGACGCTCATTCAAGTACTGCAGCTACGCCATCTTGTGTTGAGTCAAGTGACCCAGCTGAGCTTTGCTTCCATCAACACACTCTTTGCCGGAATTCAAGCAAATGACATTTCTCAGGCTGATCACTTGGCCAGAGACCTTGTTCCATTAATCAGTCACTGGTGGCAAGCGCGGACAGTGTCCCAGGACGAGATGCTCAATTCGATCCGGGACGAAATGCTAAAGACTATGTTCATAATCCACCTCCACCTTGAGCGTCTGGTGTGTCTCGAGGGTGACGATATGGTCCGCAAAGAGATAGAGGAGCTTGCTGAGTCCCTGTGGCTAGAGTACTCGCGACGAAGTAAGCGATCCCAGCTTCAACTCGATGATCTCATGTTTGTTCCCCACAGGCTACCCAAGGATTATTTTACACTAAAGCTCTTCGGCCTCCATGTTCACAACCAGGAGGGGGAGAGAAGATGGGCTTTGTGTCAGAACCTCGCCATCTTGGAGCGGATCATTTGCAAGAGCCGCAAACAGGATAAATCACAGTCTCCAGAGGGGCAACCGCGCAAAAAGCGTAGGACTTACGGTGCAGCGACGCGTTTACAGGAGAAGCTGCAGTCGCCTGGCTTGGCTGTACGGATAATCGCTTTACAGCTCGTGCCTTTCCTTCTCGACATAGAGACTTTCTCTGCGGCCGAAGTGTCGGATCTTGTTGCTGATCTCGCCATGTTCGTCGGCGATAAGGACAGCACGGTGGCATCATGGGCCATGCTCGCATGTTCCAGGTAGGTTTCCCCCAGGCTACGCGCGATGACGATCGCCAAATCTAACGACATGAAGCTCCGCGTTGTCACAGGTCAAGTCGGCTGATAATTCGGCGACATGGAGGCACGTATGGCAATTGGCTTCTCGAGCAGTCGGTCTTCCCAGTGCCAGTCGTGCCGCCAGCGTACTCTTGCATACTATCCTTGAAAGGAAACTTGTCCTTTTTCATGATGTGTCCGATGACATCAATAGCATTATCACGACTGCCGATGTCAACGGTCCAGCGCTCCTGGTGGACTCCTCCATTACCCTCATGTTGCACCTGCAGTCTCTTAGAAACGTCAAGCTGCCAAACGCAAGTCAGTCCACAAACCATCATGTCATTCGATGGATCTTCCGGAGGTGGAATCCAGGTACGTCGTCATACATATTCGAGCGGTTCACTGGCCTAACTGCATCAAGCCGACAGGGGCTACGCTCGTGACTACTCTGTCCACGCTCCGATCCCTGACCTTGTCAACCTGATACGGATTTGTTGCGGCGTACGACTGATGGCCTTGACACCATTGGCAGTGTCCGGGGGCTCTATCTGCCAGGTCTGGAAGGCACAGTACCACACATCGGACCTAACACGATACCTCCTTCTGTTGGAGGCACCAACAGCATCGAAGCCACGCACCCACCCAAGCTGTAGCCAGAGCCCCTCCGCATCAGTCCAAGTCAACGATCCATCTTTTCATGCCTCGAAGAGACTAGTTTTGGAGCTCCTATTCCCAAAAATTGAAGAACTGCAGGACCTCTGTGATTCCTGGGCGAGGAAGGGGTCAGAGGGAGGCGCGCCCATGTCGCCGGACCGACTACACAGCCTCTTTTCGGCAAATATCATAGGCACCTTGCTTGCTCCCCACCTTGTCGACTTGAACTCGGGCCAGTCACGAGATATCGAGTCTACGCTGACCAAGCTTTCCGAGGCCAGCATAAGTGCTGCTTCGGGCTCGAGTGACAACTTGGTTTTCCAAGTTTTGTTGCGGACAATACGACCCGTGCTTCCGTCACTTGACACAACGGGCATCGCCGACCTAAAAGGAAATGTCCCGCTGCTGAGGTTAATCTTGACACTGGCAGCAAGCGCGAGAGAGAGATCCGCGCGGCAATCGTCGGGACAGGATCAAGATCTCATGGACGTGGACGATAATTTCGGCTCACAGGAGAGCACGGTCAGCGTCGCGTCATCCGAGATCCCTCGCTTGAGCATCTCCATGAGTCTTGATGCGGCAGCATTCGCACAGGAAACTATTCAACATCTATACCTCTGTGAGTCGATGCACAGAGATGGTGAGGAGAGTTTCCTGGAACAGCTGTTGTTGCTCTCCGCCGATGAGTTCCTGCTGGTTAGCACCTTTGCGTCGGAGATCTTCGCGTCTGATCTGCCAATCAGTGCCGATGATGCGTTGTGCGTCGTAAAAAAGCTAGGCAAGATTATTGGCGAAGCCGAATATACCTGCTGCGAAGTGGCCCACTCGGCCAGCCTGAGAATCCTGAAAGGCCTCATGCATGTCTGGACGGACGAAAAGAACGAGGTGTCGTCTTTCGTCGGCGACTTGTACCACTATTTCGTCAAAGCCTCTCTGCCAAAGAACAGCCTATCCCCAGTGTCACAGATGTCTCTCTCGAGCCTGCTGCTTGCCATTTTGAGGACCAACCCGCAGTATGGCGGCGATCTTGGCCTCGACTCCTGTCGAACGACGTTGTTGTCAATCATGCAAAACGGCACGTTACCTGTGCAGCATTTCATCGGGTCCGCCCTGCCAGACATATTCGGCATCTACGTTCTCAAAATGCATGACGACATCTTTGTGGACGTCCTAAACAGTCTTCCTACTGATCCCGACGCCATTGAAGGCATCGCGTTCCGCCTCTTTGTGCTTTCCCAGCTGGCGTGCCGCTGGCCAACCCTGCTCAGGAGATGTACTTATCACATCTTTGAGACGCCGGGAAAGATTATACAGTCCACCAAGTACGCCAAGCGGTGTCTGGAAACGGTGTCGGAAGTCCTTCGTCTGTCCTCTCCTCAAGAGCTATTCAAGATATTCAGCCCTCAGCTGTTATATACGTGGCTTGAACTAGACGCCGTCGACGAGATCCCATTTGAGATATTCGGCTTCCCGAGTCTTGACGACCTTCTAAGAGAAGTGCAGGCCGAGACGACGGCGTTGGAGATAATGCGAGGTCGCTACGACAGCGTGCGGGCACTTTCCCAGCGATTGGGTATCTCCTTGGCTGAGATGATCAAACAAGGTTTTACCAAAGTCATGGCATACACGATTGCGCATGAGACCAGCACGCCTAGCTCCGAAGGTGACGGCGGCGAGGCCTGGGTTAGGAAACTCTTGGGCAGAGAAGCATTCCTGGAGCAAGTTTATTTGAACTTTCCAGACATTGTGGCTTTGTTGCTGGATCTTTTCGACCAAGAAGACCCGATCGAAAAGTATCTCAAAAAAGACAAGAATTTTGAAGACGCCTCTGAAAACTTGGAGGACATGAAAAAGTTCTCTCAGTCGGCAACTACCTTGCCGGCAAACCAACAGCCCATGTTCAGAGCCAAATTCCTCACCAGAGAGCTGTTTCACTTGTGTAGCAAGACGGAGTATGAGCTACACGAGTTGTGGACGCCGGCTTTGGTGGTCTCGGTCGCCCGAAGAATCTTCAATACTGTCCATCCGGCCTTGGGCTCGCTTCACGCCTGCTCCGTGCTGCGCAAGGTTCGAGTAGTGATTGCCCTCGCTGGTCCCGTTGCGCTGGAGGCGTACCCTCTCGAAATGCTGCTTTCGTCGGTCCGGCCGTTCATTGTGGACTCGGAATGTGCTGATGACGCACTTGGCGTAAGTCGGTATCTGATCACGAAAGGGGCTCGCCATCTCGAGCAAGCCCCATCGTTTCTCGCCGGCTACGCCTTGTCTACCCTGGCATCTCTCAGGGTTTTCCTCGAGTCCAGCCAGTCAAGCACAACACAGGAAAGCCAGTACAAGGCGACCATGAGCAAAGCCCAGACTTTCCACTCTTGGTTTAGTTCCTATCTCACAGGCTACGACTCGGCCAACTTTGCCGATGACCAGCAACGGGAGGCATTCCGCTTAATCACGCAGTCTGCGTCCAACATTCGATCCTCGGGAAATGCCGAGAAGGGCACACCCGAGAGCACTCTGCTGATGGAGATTCTCAGAGATGGCGAGCGTGAGTCGAAGCTCCTGAACGAGGCAGCTCGTGACCTAGCACTCGGATTACTATGTGGAGATTTCACCGTACCCACCACGGGCCATCGAGATGTGATTTCCGACGACGACGAGGCTTTGTGCCATACCGGGCTTGTCTGGAAGAGCTGCAATGCGCTAGCTCTGAGTGACGAGTACCTCGCCTGGGCAGGCCGCGTGGTAGGCAGGTCTTTCGCCGCTTCGGGAGAGATCCAATCCGAGCTCTTGGAAGAGTCCGAACTATCGCAGTACAACAGGATTGCACCGGGAGCTAATGACTCGGAGCAGGGACTGCTGCATCTGCTGCAGCAACTCACCCAGAGCAAGGAATCCACCACCGCGGGTCTGGCTGAATCGGCGTTGAGGGCAGTCGTCTCAGAAGCAGCGGCACAGGGAGACGATGCGCTCATCGTTGCCGCCCAGCGGACCTTGACCGAATCCTTGTGCTTGACCTCGGCCTGGGACCAATATCGCACGCCTCCCTCCGACTTTGTCCTGTCCCCGATTGTTCCTGATTCTCAGGTCTTCTTCCGGGATCATGTGGAGAGTTCCGACTGGGTTCAGCAGCTCGCCGTTCACCTTGCGCAGTCGGTTTCCGAGTACATTATCCTCAGCGCGTTGGTGCCAATTCTCAAGCACGTCAAAGGTTTCGCCCAAGACGCCTTTCCATTCATCGTGCACCTGGCTTTGTACAGTCAACTAGACAAACAGCATCACATCAAGCGCAACTTGTCGGAAGCCGCCAAAGAGTGGCTCAAAATCGAAGACGATGCAGCACGGACGAACCAGAAACAACTCATCAACACAATCTTATACCTCAGAACGCAGTCAATTCCCAATGAGGTATCCATCGCGGACCGGGACACGTGGCTTGATGTTGACTTTGCTGCTGCTGCCGCTGCCGCCTCGCGATGCGGTATGTATAAGACCGCCTTGCTGTTTACCGAGGTAGCCGCCTCCCAGACCGCCCGCTCGTCTAGACGATTATCTGCAGTTCGCGAAGAGGATTCCACCGAAGTTCTTCTATCAATCTTTGAGAACATCGACGATCCCGATGCCTACTACGGTCTCCCACAATCTGCTGATTTGTCGAGTGTATTGACTCGATTGGAGTACGAGAAGGATGGCTCCAAGAACTTGGCCTTCCGAGGAGCACAATACGACAGTCACATCCGGAGAAGGGACCCCGCATCACAGGTCGACAGCCAGTGTCTCGTCAGAGCTCTGGGTACATTGGGTCTGGCGGGTCTCTCTCATTCACTGTTGCAAACACAACAGGGCCACTCCGGAGAGGAAGCATCTTTGGAGAACACTTTTCAGACAGCACGCCGACTGGAGTTGTGGAACCTGCCTGTTCCATCAACCGCTGACAATTGTGCCGTGACCATCTACAAGGCATACCAAAATGTTCATCAAGCCACTGACGCGCATTCTGTGCGCAATGCTATATATACTGGTTTCAGCCAGACAATGCGCAGTCTTGTCAGTCGTGGCTTGAACGCAGCCAAACTTCGGCAGCATCTCGGCGCCCTCGCAGCCCTGACTGAGCTTGATGACATCGCCAACGTGGCCGACTTCTTTGAGCTGGAGGGCATGCTTAGCAAATTTGAACAGCGTAGCCAGTGGATGAGGCGCGGAAGGTATGTAGCTGCTGCACCATTTGCAACATTGGTCACCCCCGTGCTTTTCTGTCCAGTCCAACGGTATTGTTGGCATCCCCATCGCTACTCCCTCCCTTCAGACCCATCTCTCTATTTTGCCTCCATCTTCTCCGTATGACGGCCATTTCAAACTGACGAACAACAGGTATGAGGATGTCAGTCACCTACTTTCCTGTCGAGAGACAACATTGAGCTTGATGAGCCAACAGCCAAAGCTTCGGAGCCAGGCCTTGTCCACAGCCCAGGCCAGACAAGTCGAGATCCGATGCATGCTGATGTCCTCGGGCATATACCGTTTCCATCAAGCAACCCAAGAGTCTCTGAACCTCTCCACGTCACTTGCGGACTTGGTCGGCCCTTGCGAGGAGCTGGGCATCAAGGTCGACGCAGCAATCAAGATTGAGACAGCCAACTCATTGTGGGACCACGGGGAAATGATCTACTCCATCCGCATGCTGCAGAGTATCGACAGCGACTCGTCCCTCAAGAAACAGACGATTCCAGTCAGCCGTTCAGACCTCCTGTCAAAGATTGGCCACCAGGTGTCGGTAGCCAAGTTGGAAAAGCCGCACCAAATCCAGAAAAACTATCTCGAACCGGCTCTCAAAGACCTTAAGGGGAACAGCCAGGGACAACAGGCAGGGCACGTCTACCACCAGTTCGCCATGTTCTGTGACGAGCAGCTGCAAAACCAAGACAGTCTGGAGGACCTGGCCAGGCTGCAAAGTCTGCGGAAGGGCAAGAGTGACGAGGTTTCTCAGCTCCAAGATCTCATCTCAAGCAGTCGCGATTCCCAGCTCAAACAAAGGTACCAGTCTCACCTAAACCGAGCTCGCCAATGGCTACATTTGGACGAACAAGAGCTCCGCCGTGTGGAGCAGACGAGAAGCGAGTTTGTGCGGCTCAGTCTGGAAAACTACCTCCTTTCACTTACCGCCTCCGACGAGCACAACAATGACGCTTTGCGGTTCACGGCTCTCTGGCTGGAGCGTTCGGAAGAGCCAGCGACCAATGAAGCCGTCAAGAAACATCTTGACAAGGCTCCCACAAGAAAGTTCGCAACGTTGATGAGCCAGCTCTCCTCGAGGCTGCAGGACCAGCCGAGCTCGCCTTTCCAGAGGCTCCTGATCAACCTCGTCTACAAGATCTGCGCGGAGCATCCATACCACGGGATGTATCAAATCTGGTCAGGCACAAAGGTCAAAACCCGCAAAGAGGATCAAGTGGCGGTCCTCAGACTCAAGGCGACGGAAAAAGTGGCTTCACTCCTGCAGTCGACTAAATCTGTCGCGGCAATCTGGCAAGCAGTCGATAGGACGAGCTCTTACTACCATCGCCTGGCTGTCGACCGAGACCCTAACAAATTCAAGGCCGGACAGAAGATGGCGCTCAAGGACATCCACTCGGCCCAATCATTGCAAAACGCGCTGGCCAAGTACAAAATCCCGCCCCCGACGATGCAGCTCGAGGTATCGGCGACCATGGACTACTCGGGTGTGCCCGTCATCTCAAAGCTTGACCCTCAGATGTCCATCGCATCTGGCGTCAGCGCACCAAAGATTATAACGGCGGTCGGGACTGATGGCAAGAAATACCGGCAACTGGTCAAGGGCGGCAACGACGATCTCCGTCAAGACGCCATCATGGAGCAGGTCTTCGCGGCCGTGTCGGATCTTCTCAAGCTACATCGCTCGACCCAGCAGAGGGACCTAGGAATCCGCACCTACAAGGTTCTTCCTCTCACATCGGCATCTGGACTGATCGAGTTCGTCCCCAACACTATTCCATTGCATGAGTTCCTTATGCCCGCCCATGAGAGGTACTTCCCCAAAGATCTGAAGGGATCTCAATGCAGGAAGGAAATCTCAAACACACAAGGCAAGACGGTCGAGACTCGGATTAGCGTGTATCGCAAAGTTACAGAGAGATTCCATCCCGTGATGAAGTACTTCTTCATGGAGAACTTTGTTGATCCCGATGAGTGGTTCGTCAAGCGCCTCGCGTACACGCGCACAACTGCAGCTATTTCGATGCTCGGCCACGTGCTCGGTCTCGGCGACAGGCACGGCCACAACATTTTACTGGATAGCAAGACGGGCGAGGTCGTGCACATTGACCTGGGTGTCGCATTTGAGATGGGACGCGTCCTTCCCGTGCCAGAGCTCGTTCCGTTCCGGCTAACGAGAGACATTGTGGACGGTATGGGCATTACCGGGACCGAGGGCGTCTTTCGGCGCTGCTGCGAGTTCACACTGCATGCCTTGCGTGAGGAAACTTATTCGATCATGACGATTCTCGACGTCCTTCGTTACGATCCTCTGTACTCGTGGTCCATTTCCCCCGTGCGTCTAGCAAAACTGCAGGGGGGCGAATATGAAGGTGACGACGACGACGGTGATGGAGAAGGCAGGAAGGGAAAGAAGGGGCAGCAGGTCAATGAGCCGTCGGAGGCCGACCGGGCTTTGGAGGTGGTCCGGAAGAAGTTGTCAAAGACGTTGAGCGTAACGGCGACGGTCAACGACCTGATTAACCAGGCGACCGATTTAAGTAATCTTGCTGTCCTCTACTCGGGATGGGCAGCGTATGCATAGATAATTGATATGCCTTCACCCCTCCCTCTCGGCGCATTCTAGTGGTGATATTCTGGGGATAGGCATTCAGGCTCGGGAAGACGTTTATACGGCGGTCTTTGATATAAAGTGCCTTGAGGTAGAACGCGACTTGAGAGTGGGGAACATGATTCAAGTGACGATGGGAGGTCGGAGGAGAACGCAGTGTGGTGGGGTCAATGTCTTATCTGGCCCCTGTCGCAAACGATAAGGGGACGTGCTAAATGGATGATGCCAACGACCGGTGGTGATTTGTTAGTGGCGTCCATAGCTCCGCGTTTAACTCCGCGACATCTTTCCCAGAACATCGCTCAGTGTGCATCTCGACCTCTCTGTGCCAAGTTACTCTGCAAACTCCTGACACTCCTGACATTCCACTCGACAGAAGACAGCCGCCTGCGATTTCTCCTTGGTCACCCACCTGCCCATACCACCCCATCTCCACGAGAGCGCACAGTAGGTCTGTAACAGCTTGGACAAAAGTTGTTGCAGGGCCACACGGTCCATGCCGTCGAATTCACCCCCCGCAGTCGAGGGAGCTTTGCCATCACGGGCGACGGGAAGGACAGGCGGCGCAGCGCCGGTCAACGACACCAATCACCCTCTACGCCGAAGACCCCGCCAAGATTCCGACGTCTCGCGATCCGGTTCCGTCGCCCCGCACCAGCAGCAGCCCAATAGACCGAGTCCGAAGCGCTTCAAGTTGGGCGCCGAAGACCCTCCCTCTCACAACATCATGTCTACCAAGATGAAAGGCAAGCTGCCCGAGGTGATCGACCTGACGCAGTCCAACTCATATCGGCCGTATACGGGCGCGAAGAAGCTGGTGATCAAGAACTTCCGACACTCGGCGAGTAATGAGAAGCTGGAAAAGTACTACGAGCGGACCGAGCAGGAATTGATTGATGCGTTGCAGGAGGTCTTTGGCGGGCGCAAGCCGAAGCTGCCGTTGGAGAGGCTATCCAGGGCCGTGGAGGATATATGCAGGCGCGGCCAAGACAACGACTTGCAGCTGTACGAGACGCTGCGGCGAAAGTGCGAGGAGCACCTCACCCAGGACGTACTGCGTTCAATCAAGTCCTGCGCCGGCAATACAGATGCTGAAATGCTGAGGAGCGTCCTCCAGCACTGGAGGGTGTGGAATGGTCAGATTGTGAGTGCAAGGTGGTTTCTACCCGCTGGCCTGACACTTATTCATGACAGATGACAATCCGATCCACATTCACCTATCTTGACCGTACCTTCCTCCTGAAGAACAAGAACTACCCTTCCATCAACGACATGACCATTTCACAGTTCAGAAGGATGGCGTTCCCCGCTCGGGACGACCCAGGCGGTCAGACGCCCGGTGGCAGGGCGTTGCGGGGCATGTACGACCTGATTTCGTACGACCGAATGGGGGATGAGCGGTTCGAAGCAGCATTGCTCAAGGACTCGGTCATGATGCTCCACGTTTTCAACATTTACACCAAATACTTTGAGCCCCGGTTCATCGAGCTATCAGAAGACTTCTTTGAGGATTTTGCAGAGGAAAGGAATGCGTCAAGCTTGAAAGAGTACATCTTGGCATGTGAGAAACTGCTCAAGAAGGAGGACTACCGCTGCAACGAGTACAACCTGGACTCGACAACCAAAAAGCAGTTGCTCGACGCGGCGCATGGCATACTTGTGAACAAGTACTCTGACAAGCTTCTCAATAGTGAGAGTCTCTCCAAGCTCCTTTCAGACCATGAGGTGGGCTCGATGAAGGCCTTGTACGACTTATTGCGACTCTCCGATATCCAGAAAAAGCTCAAACAGCCCTGGAGCACGTATATCAAGAAGACGGGTGCTGCGATTGTTGCTGACAAGGAACGCGGCGATGACATGGTCCAGAGGCTTCTCGAACTCAAGAGATCACTAAGCCTCATCGTTCGCGACGCCTACGATCGTGACCCAGACTTTGTCAACGAGCTCAGGAACGCCTTTGGAGACTTTATGAACGATCGCAGCATTGCAACGACATGGAGCTCAGGAACGTCCAAGGTCGGTGAGATGATTGCCAAGTACGTCGACATGCTCCTTCGCGGGGGAATCAAGGCTTTACCGAAAACGCTGCTTTCAGACAACAAAGACCGAGCCGCGGCGGAGCAGAGCGGCCTGGCGAGCACTGGCGACGAAGACGCCGAGCTCGACCGACAGCTGGACCAGGCCCTGGAGCTCTTCCGCTTTATCGAAGGCAAGGACGCGTTTGAGGCGTTTTACAAGAAAGATTTGGCTCGCCGCCTGCTCATGGGCAGAAGCGCCAGTCAGGATGCGGAGCGAAACATGCTCAGGAAGCTCAGAGAGGAGTGTGGTATGAACTTTACTCACAATCTGGAGCAGATGTTCAAGGACGTCGAGGTGGCCAAGGAGGAAATGGAAGCATACAAGCAGTGGTCGGAAGGCACCGGCGTGGATAGGGCTCCTGTCGATTTATCGGTTATGATCCTGTCACAGGCGGCCTGGCCGACGTACCCGGACGTCAAGGTCCACTTACCAGACGATGTTGCCAAGCAGATTGAGCGATTCGATCAGTACTACAAGAACAAGCACACTGGCCGGCTGCTCAACTGGAAGCACGCGCTGGCGCATTGCACGGTCAAAGGGAAGTTCCCCAAAGGTACAAAGGAGCTCCTCGTCAGCGCGTATCAGGCAATCATCCTCGTCCTCTTCAATGAGGTCGGCCTCGATGGTTTCATCAGCTACGAACAAATCGCTCGCTCCACAAACCTGCAAGGAGAGGAATTGGGCCGAACGCTGCAGTCTCTCGCCTGCGGACAAGTCCGCGTTCTTTCAAAGCACCCCAAGGGCAAGGAAGTCAACGCGACGGACACGTTCACGATCAACAAGGCTTTTGCGCACCCCAAGATCAGAGTCAAGATCAACCAGATCCAGCTCAAGGAGACAAAGGAGGAAAACAAGGCGACGCATGAGCGCATCGCCCAGGACAGACGGTTTGAGACACAGGCGGCCATCGTGCGGATCATGAAGAGTCGCAAGGAGATGAGTCATGGCGAGCTGGTTGCGGAGGTGATCAACTTGACCAAGAACCGCGGCGCGGTTGATGCGGCGCAGATTAAGAAGGAAATCGAAAAGTAAGTCACTCCCGTGTCGTTGGGGGAGCATTGCTGACAGCCTCGATAGCCTGATTGACAAGGACTACTTGGAACGCGAAGGCAACACCTATACGTACTTGGCATAGCGGAGGAGGGTCTTTCGTACCTTGGGCGCAAGAGGTAGACGCTGAATATCCTGGTAAGACAAGTAGATGGCATGGTGTACCTGCTTATGTACATGAATCAAATGAAAGAGAGGCTGGATGGTTAGGAAAGCGGCGTTTGAGAGCGAGAGGGAACAATGAACCTTGAGGTTGGCTGCGTCTTCTCGATGACTGGTGCACTGACCAGTTGATCCGCATCTCGGTGAGCTCCCACCCGTGATGGTCAATGATCCCTGTCCGGACCCTGCGGATAATCGTTCCACCTAGCGCATTGCGGGGTTCGAAAAAAGTTGCGGCGGTCCCTCTGCAACTGGACCAAAATTTTGGGAAATTTTGTGCCAAAGGCGGTCGGCCTGAAATATTTCCCATTGCAGTGCCCGCGAAACCTCGACGACTTTTCGGCCCTCGACGGATTTGCGCCGATTCCCTCAACACCCCTACAGACTCGACGTCTGATCTTTTCGAGCCCTTCCCTTGTCCCTTGAAGAATTCCGGAAAACAAAAAAGAGGAAAAAGACTCAACAATTGTCTTCGAAAGCGACGATCCAGCACAACCGCCAAGATGCCCAAGTCAAAGCGCAACAGAGTGGTCAACCTGACCCAGGTGAACAAGAAGACGCGCGAGCAAAAGGACAAGCTCTTTTCCAACATTCGCGAGTCGGTCCCGCAGTACCAGCACTGCTTCGTTTTCGGCGTCAACAACATGCGCAACAACTACCTCAAAGAAGTTCGCCACGAGCTCAACGACTGCAGGTCCGTCTCTCAAGTTTCTTCAGTCTTCCAATCAGTGATCCCGCTGTCGGTGGCTATGCACAAAGACAACACGCAGTCGGCTACATAATCTATCCTGCAAGAACCAATCCCAAGCTAACCAAATGCCAACAATCACACAGACTCTTCTTCGGCAAGACAAAACTCATGGCCAAGGCCCTGGGCCAGGACCCCTCCTCGGCCGTTGCAGACGGCATCGAGCGCCTCACCCCCTTCCTCGCCGGCACCGTCGGCCTCATCTTCACCAACCGCGACCCGGCCTCCATCCTCGAGTACTTTGACGGCGTCGCCCCCGTCGACTTTGCGCGCGCGGGAACCGTCGCGACCCGCGACTTCATCATCCCCGCGGGCGTCGTCTACGCCACGGGCGGCGAAGTCCCCGCCGAGCACGATGTGGCCATGGAGCACAGCATCGAGCCTGAGCTGCGCCGCCTCGGCATGCCCACGCGCATGGTCAAGGGCCGTGTCTGCCTCGGCGGCGACGACACGGGCGAGGGTGAGGGGTACACCGTCTGCCGCGAGGGCGACGTCCTCGACAGCCGGCAGACGAGGCTGCTGAAATTGTTTGGTATCTGCTTGAGCGAGTTCAAGGTCAAGGTTCTTGCGTACGTTTTCCTTTTGGTCCCCCTAGAGACGATTGTGAGTGTTGACATGATTTTGCAGATACTGGAGCTCTGCATCGGGTGAGGTGACCGAGGTGAACCCCAACGCCATGGACGGCGTCGAGGTCGAGAGCGACTAAGTCAATGTCCCTTTGTCGGGATTGGGTTATGATCAAAAGACGACCAAAAAAAAAGCTTCTAGACTTTGATGATTGCTTTCCTCATGTAGGCTGATACCATCATGGATTGCGAAAGGGTGGGCCACAAAAACAACTACGGCGTTCCGGGCGGATTTATTAGATATCTTTTCCAGTCATGCTTCGGGCATCAATTTTTTCCACACTTTTTTCATTCCATGCAGGGGTGCTTGCCTATGCTCACACCGTCACACTCGTGCTTGCCCAGGTACCTGCACATCGGATGGAACACTACACGTCTTGGAGAGGTCGGGAGTTCGAGCCTACCTTTCAATACGTCCTTTGCCCCTTTCCAGAGAGGCAGGCTCTTTTATACCGGGGGGAGGTGGGTTTTGGAACCGGGGTGTGAGCGCTCTCGGGAACGATTAGACTTGACTCGAAGAGCCGGAAGAGAGAAAGCTACGTACGACCTGCCTGCGCAAGAAACGAGAGGTCCTCACCTATTCGTACAAGTGATTATAACGTGGTACATGCGAGTTTACCCTGTCCCTTTTGTTCCCATGCTCGTCTCCTCACTGAGCTCCAGGTGAGTAGGCACAGAGTCCCTTACCTCTGACCTTACCTGCAGCGTCGAACATGCCATTGGCCGAGGTTATTGCGGCCGTTGTTGTCTAGTCGCTGGATGCGGCTGGCGGGCGTGTGCACATGGAGGTTACCTTCAACAAAGTGATGTAAAAGTCCATGGCAGTTGGCGGCCCGCGTGGGGTTCTGACGTGATACGGGCGCGCCTGGAATCTGAGTATACTTGCCCCAAGCTTAGATTCGAACTTTCTTTGATCCGAATATTGAGATACTTGAGTTTTGCGCATGAAACCTTCTGCTTACCCTCGGGAGAGAAGAGGAAGAAGAAAAGAGACTGAAGGAAGAGACGAGCGAGTCATCACCCACCGCAAGACACTGAGTGCCTCGTCAGTAACGACGCAACTTGCGAGGATCTTCGTAGCCGCCGCCCTCGTAGCCTCGTTTCCTGCTGTCGTCATCGCGAGGTCGGTCGTAGTCTCTTTCTCTGTCACGGCCCCGGTCCCGGTCCTCTCTGTCACGGTCGCCACGGTCGCCACGGTCGCCACGATACCCACCTTCCCCTCTAGGTCTGATAGGCTCCATGTTGCTTCCAGTGCGTCGGCCACCGTCACGGTCCCGGTCGCCGCGATCACCGAAACGACCTCCATCACGATAGCCGCCGCCGCCACCGCCGCCGGATCTGTCGTCAAATGAGCGGCCACCACCACGGTCATACCCACCGCCGGAGAAGCTGCGGTCGCCTCGGTCGCCACGGTCGCCTCCGGAGCCGCGACCAGGTCCTGAAGGGGCGTCTCTAGGTGCACCGTATCCGTTGGGTCCGCGGTCACCGCCCCTGGAGCCGAAGTCGCCGCCCCCACGGAAGCCGCCACGGCCACCGAAACCTCCACCGCCTCCCCTGAAGCCACCGCGTCCGCGACCTCCTTCGAAACCGCCGCGGAAACCTCCTCGGAAGCCACCACCAAAGTTGCCACCAGGTCCGCCACCCATGGGCCGGGCAGGAAGAGCCTTGGTGTAACCTCTGCCGCCGAGACCGCCGCCATATCGGCGGGGTACCCATCCCTTGACAGTGCGGCCTCTTTCGACGTCTACCTTGATACGTCGGTCTTTGATTCGAATACCATCGCAGGCATCTAAAGCAGCTACTCACCAGTGCGCCAAGGCGCTTGTGTCAGTAAAACCTTGGGAATATCATACCTTTGCACCGCGATTGAGTGAAAACAAGGAAAAACAAGATTTGAGACGGGCTAGCTTGAGGGCCACAGATCTCGGTGTGCAGTGCAGAACGCGGGCAAGCCTGAGGGCCGCGCGCCTGAAGGGGAATGACTGGCGGACAAGCCGAGTCTTGTCGAAGGGGGTGGGTTCGGCGGTATTACCTCTCATATCTTTCTCTCGTTCAAATACTACAAAAGCATACCCTCGGTGAGGCTTCTTCTTCTTTTTGGGTCTCTCATGAGCATGCGTGTCAGTGATGATGCGAATCTATACAAACGTTAGCTTGGATCAAGGGACATCGAGGTGTTTTGGGAATACACACGCGCTCAATGGGGCCGAATCGACCAAACTCTCTCTCGAGATCTTGCTCGTTGGCCTCGTATGAGAGTCGGGCAACAATCAGCGTCTTGAAAGCGTCGCCACGAATATTGGGATCCTCGTGCGGCTTGACTAAGTGGTGGGAACGTCAGCAGAGATTCTGGATGAACAACAACTAGGGAAACTGACAGTCCTTCGGCCCCTCGGTCTTGAGCTTCTCGACGGCTGCCTGCTTTTCAAGCTTCTTGCGGTCGCGCATCTGAAGCCAACTCTCTGTCGGGTTGTATTCATCCTCCTCTTTGTATTTCTGGAGCGCTGGGAGGAACTCGGCGAGTCCGGAGACGGGGAGGGTTCGTCGAGCCTCGGGCGCATGGTCGGGAGGCGCAACCCATCGCAGGGGAGGGCGCGGCGCGAAGAGCGCCAACAGGTTAGGAGGGAGCTTATCCGTCATCGCTGCATTTGCTCTTCGTCAATGTCCGATGAGTGACAACTTCGGGTCTGATGGAATACGTCGCGTCCTGGCTAATGATGCACCGACGGAGCTTGATAGTATGATGGGGTTTGGAAAGGGAGCGGCGCGTCGTGGAGGAAATTGATACAGGGGAGCATGGGAAACTTTGTGGTGCAGACAGGTCCGTCCAATCGCCGCGGTTCTGCCGAACCTTCCTGGTCGCTAAGCTTCCAAAGAAGATACGTACCTCCGCATGCTGTCACCTCAGGCTGCATCTGCATTTTCGCGCTAAGAAATTTCCCCGTCCTTGGACAGGAGCCTCTCGTGAACCAGACTACGAGTTGGATTCTGTGCGCCAAGCAGGATACCATGACGATCAAGGCATTGAAGACGGTGTCTACCGGCCGTGTAAGATCCCTCGAAGATGGGAGAACTGCGGTCTCTTTTATTGATAACGTGACAGAATGGCCTCGGCTCTTTCATCCTCCAGTGCAAGAAGCTGGACTTTCACTACTGCGACTGGGCCGGCAGCTCCAAGGGAATGAAGTACGCCAAACCCCCTGGAACGAGATTGTCGAGGTCGTTGCTAACAGCCACCCAGTGGCTTCATCAAGTCTCAGCTTCCCAAGTTCGCGGCCGCAAACCCCCAAGTCGAGTTCACCGTCTCCCCCCGTCCATCGAAACACCCCATCATCGTCGGCCACTACATCAACGGTCGCGAGAAGGCCATTTGCGTTCGGAATATGGAGCCAATCGAGATCTTGAAGAAGGCTGAGCTGCTGCGCGACGCCAGCGGAGAGAAGTTGAAGAGGGTCAACAAGCCGGTGAACAGTATCAACCCTAGTGTCAGAGGTGTCTGGAGTCCTTACCACGGCAATGGCATGGCTGTATAAATATGAGTCACATGAGCGTGTCGATTTGGAAAATGTGTAAAATTACGAACAGAACTAGGCGTGTACAGGAAGAGGCGGGGGCTTCTTCGCTGCGTGTACCATGTATTGACCCATCAGGGAGGGTAAGGAGTGCCCCTTTAAGCGCTCAAAATTTAGAATCACAAACGTTCAACAGGTCCAACCACAGCTACGAATCGGGGGTATAATGTTTTATTTAATTGTGCGGCCCTAGGAGTTGCCAGCTACGAATAGTTACTTGGGGTCATCCTGGGTCTATCCCGGCCCATCACGGCCTGATTTTAGGTCATCATCATCAAGTGTGTAATCTGGATTGTTTACTGCTTGGCGTTGACAATGTCGACAACTGCGATACGTTAGCTATCTGTTCATTACGGTGCACCGGAAAGACTCACAGCCAGGCTTCAGAGAGGCACCGCCGACCAGGAAACCATCAATGTCCTTCTCTTTGGCGAGGTCCTTGCAGTTCTTCTCGTTGACACTGCCGCCGTACAGGATGCGGGTCTCGTCGGCAACCTTGTCGCTGACCTCCTTCTTGAGCCAGGCGCGGATGGCGGCGTGGACCTCCTGGGCCTGGTCGTTGGTGGCGACCTTGCCGGTGCCAATGGCCCAGATGGGTTCGTAGGCAATGACGACCTTGGACCAGTCGGAGATGGCGGCCTTGAGGGCAGCAAGCTGCTTGCTGACGACCTCGACGGTGGTGCCGGCCTCGCGCTCCTCGAGGCTCTCACCGCAGCACCAGATGGCGCCGACGCCGTTCTCGGTGGCGTACTTGGTCTTGGAGGCAACGACCTCATCGGACTCGCGGAGGATGGTGCGGCGCTCCGAGTGGCCGAGGATGGCCCAGTTGATGTTGCTGTCCTTGAGCTGGGAGACGCTGATCTCGCCGGTGAAGGCACCGTTGGGCTTGTCGAAGACGTTCTGGGCGGCAACCTCGACGTCCTTGCGGAGCTGGTCGCGGACGAGCTGGAGGTAGATGGCAGGAGGGGAGACGACGACCTCTGTGGACTGTCAGAGGCACAGCGTAAGCCGTGTTGAAATGGATTTGTACGTACCGGTGTTGGGGTCGAGGGTAGCGTTGTTCAGGTTCTGGACAATCTCCTTGATGGCGGAAACAGATCCGTTCCTGTGAGGTTGATGTACGTTAGTCTCATGATATTTTGCCCGCGGCCCCAGCTACCAGTCTGCCCCCTCTTCGGTAATGCAGAGATCGCCGACCCCGCCGCCATCGGGACAAGACTTACATCTTGAAGTTGCCGCCGACGAAGAACTTGCGAGCCATGCTGGGCAATTGGTGGTGTCTGGTGATGCGTGGGAGGTTTGGTAGGATTGAAGACGTCTGAGTTTCCGTCGGGAGTGAAAGACCATATCAAGACTGAGTGTAAATGACGCAAGTTGGGTTCGGACAGGAGCTTCGCAGCCGTAAAAAGACCTCAGGGTTGGGTCACGTCAAAAGCTCCAGCGCGAGGTGGGCTGCGCTTGTCTCGTGGAGGGGCAGAGGGGCTGCGCGGGAGGGGCAACTGGTACCACCGCTGCCCACCTCGAGAGTGCCGCCGCTGGCAGGCCGAGCAGCAGCAGGTTGGCAGCACACAATCAGCAGTTCTGGTGGGGCCCTCAGCGGCCCCGGTCTGGCCCGGAGCCTGCAGCTGCCCCGCACTCAACCTCACTGCAGCGTCCAAGTCGCCCAAGTGACCTGAGCGTCCGTCTGCCATGGGCTGAGACCGTCTGCCAACATCGACTGCCCCTCAACAGTTTTCGTGCCTAGTCGGACCGTTCGCTTCCCTTCACCCCCGGGACGCCGAGTCTCTAATTCGACAACCCAATCGGATGGCCGCTAGCTGTCAGGCGTATGGCACTCCGAGAGCAACAGCCAGCGGTTAGGTCAGCAAAGGTGGTCTGCAATTTAGCAATTTAGCCAGGAGCACGAATCGGCAATCCGTCTCAGCCGAGCGAGGGCCGTGACAAAGATGTTCTCACCAACGGCTCGAGAGTTGACGACCCCGGGCCAAGTCTCCAGCATCGGTCTCCCATTTATCTAATCCTTACCGTCGGTCGAAGCACCATTATTGCACTAGTAGAGGTAGAATTGCGGCCGCCAGATTTCTGTCCTGTCCACGAACCTCGTTTCTTCCGACTACGGCTGCTCGATACCATCTTCCATCACCTTCGGCAAGGCAATATCATGGATGGTCCATGATCTGCAGGCTCAATTGGCTCAATGACTACGAGTTCCTATGCTCAGAAGGTCCAGATAGCGAGTCCATGTGCGTTGCTTTGTGTGGTAAGCACTATGCGGCGTAGCCTAGACCAAAGTCTGGGGATAGGGTTCTGTATACTGTCTCAATAGTCACATCTCCTTAATCTCGGTATTCGACATCCCTTTGTCTGATCAAGGCTGCGACGGCCTAGCCTCCTACCCAAAAACGAATATAGTAACCTGTTCCACGCATCAACCTCGATCTCTTGGCCGTCCCGAGACGGCGAGTCTGGCGTCTGCGATCCGGGGCATCAAAAGCAAAGCTACGCGACGCCGTCTCAGATATCTCACAACACGATGGATCGAAGACTGCTGTACCGGGCGATTGATTAATCCTAGTCAGTGTCTCATCTAATACTCCTGATCCGTATTCGGAGCCCTAGTCCAGGTCGCCAATCGACAATCTACAAATTAATTGTCTCGTCATGCAGCATCCCGCGCAGGGCACGGATCGCCTTGGTCGACTTGCCCTGGGTCGTCATTTTCGTTTCCGGACGGCATCCTGACATAAGAGAGGAGACAAGGGAGCGTGATGCGGTCTGTAATTTTGGCCGTGCTTGACTTCCTTGCGTCGCGCTGATCGAGAATTCCTTCATCTGGCTGAGACCACTTGAGCTTGGACCTACACAATGCTAAGCAATGTCGTGGTGGTCCTTGTTCGTGATCAAAAAGGCAGCTGCAGTGAGACGTCGTCGCGTTCGATTGTGTCGTACCGAAAAGGAACTCCATGAGAAGCATGTCTCCCATTCCTTGTCAGTTTAGTAGGGCCTTCTTCCCCCGTCTCTTCGAACGGCCAGGGAACAACATGCATCGTTGGCAACGGTCAGTGCTGGTGATAGATGCAGCTTTGATGGTCATTGGACTAGCGGCGACGCAATTTTGACATGGACGAGTTTGCTGATTGAAGAGACGATTTTAAGTTCCCGTGCGATGTAAGTCAACAACCACTACCGAGCTCTGCGCCGAGCCCACACTCTCTGCACCCGGCTGTTCAGACGTGAGCCTCGTACCCCGAGCTTCCGTTCAGTGCCGACTTCGGCATACGCCCTCGCTTCATCCTTCTGTAGATGTGCCGGCTAGATACTTCGATCATTTCTGTCTCTGTGCAGTCATGAGCTCTCCTAGTGTTGTGAAACGAATCTCAGCTCGAATAGATGTAGGCAGGCGCAGAAGAGCCGATGACACGCCGCCGAAAAGATGGACGGTTTCTGGGGATTGAACGAGGTCAATGTCAGATTGGTGGCCTTTGACATGGGAGATAGATGGCAGTGGGAGGCCTCGACTATGACAGACAAGTCGAGCAGGCCATCGCACAGAGCACACTGTACTTGCGATGTGATGGAGTCGCCAAGATTCATCCTCTACAGCATGCGTCCGATGTTTCAAGAGCGCTCTCTCGGTGGCACGAACATCTAACATCTCAAGTCCGTCCGAAACACACTGTCCTCTCACAATCTGTCATACGATACGCCTGGGCATTCTAGAAGTCCAGTGTCGTCTCGAACCTGTCGTTTTCTCATGTTGCCGCTTTCCCGCGGAGCGTGTGAGCATTCCAGGCGAGAGGAGTGAACCCACCTTGGATGTCGTTATGTTTGAGTCGGCCACGCAAGGGGTAGCCTCCGGGGGTGCAGCTGATGGCAGGCCGGACACACGTGGGGTTGACAGCCCCCGGCCTGATCTCAGGGCCCAATCGCATTTCCATCAATCAAGGTCGAGACCGGGGGTCTTGGCTTCACGTAAGGTAGTCTCGACGGGTAAGCGGGAGGTAGACGGCTGAAGACGATTTTCTCCGTTGCCGTGATCGTCCGCTAATGGCAGGAACACTGGGACCGAGCTGTGCGCGAGCGACACTATTCGCTGGCGACTCTTCTGAGCCCCAATCATCTTGTGCCGGTTGAAACACCTACACGCGGGGGTGATTCGGAAACGGCTCAGAAATAGCAATCTGGCCCACCTAGCTCTCGCGCATGGTGGCTGCAGGAAGAAGAAATGCAATAATCAAATCGAAGTAGCAGTTCGTTCCGTTGAGCGTGATGGTGTGAACAAACCCAGAGAAACTAGACCGAAGGGTTATTGTCATTGGCTTTTGGATGAAGGAGGAAAGAGCAGTTGAGTCTGACATGCGAGGTGTCGTCTAGTTGATGACTAAGGCTACGTTGAGTGGGGCAGACCGTTTGTCGTCGTTCGAGAGCCGAAGCCACGATGTCAATTCTTTGCCAACTAACGACTTCAAGCCAGCAGATGCCATCGGGTTCCACCCGCTTGCGTGCGAAGCCGCCTCTCCGTTTGATGGCATGCGTAACCTGGCATTCACCGTTCGTCAGACAGGGTAGCATTCGAGCGTCATCAGCCATGGAAACACCCAGATCCGATGTGATAGGGACCGGAACCTGACAGGCCAAGACTGCCATATTGGAGAGCGGCCGCATCACGGGGGCCTTGCAGAAAAGCCTCTGGGAACACGATGGCCTGTCACTAGCCGTTTCTTCAAGACTTTCCAGGATGTTGAGGTCGAATAGGCGAAAATCGAATTAGGCCCTCTGACACGGACGGTTTTATCATGCCCTCGCTCGGTCGTCAATGCGCCAAATGAACCCAAAACCCGGGCATCCTGCCAAGCTCCAGACAGTTCTCTTAGCAAAGGGAAACGAAAAGGTGGTGCGGCTTCGGGTTCTGGACGCAAACGTTTTCGATCTTCATCCAGGAACACATTGTCTCCTCCACATCGCGCCAGCTTTCCGCTATCCCCACCGGCCGCCCACCACCACCACGATGATATTCAGACCAAGGCTGGTTTGTGAGTGTGAATGCTCTCGCCCATGAGCACCGTACCGCTCGAATGAAAGCTGTCAATGGCCAAGCCCTCTGTCAAATAATCTGCTGGCCTTCCTTGACCTGTCATATTCAAGATCGCAGGCCTGGAGCATGACGCTGACGATCACGAATGGATTTTGACACTGTTGACACCTGGGAGTGATAGCTGTCTGGGTAGCTTCAAACTGCTTCCGCTGCATTAGCGGCAAATAATCCCGGTCGCTGAGCCTGGGTCTACCGCGCCAACGAGCTAGTCAGCCGGAGCAACGGCCTTGTCAACCCATCTGCAAAACCAACGACAGGGCTGGGGGATATTCTCGCCAACAACGACTCTAGAGGAGCGTTGCGACGGTGTCGCAGAAGATGACTTACGCAAAGAAGCAAGGCGCTGAAGTCTACTGCCTTTCCGGCTTCCCTCACACAGACTTGCAACCGGCCAAGTTGCCGTGGGCTCAAGGGAGTAGCATCCGTTGTCACCTTTTCAGCACAGCCCCGTGGATGTCCAATGGACAGAGAGAGAGACAACACGACACCACACCACCAATTCCTAATGAGAGCCCCGGTTCAAGCCGTCAGTGCGGCCTCGAGAATGTCTCGTCAACACTCACTACTCGTACCAGGATTACCCCCCACCGGCAGTGCAGAGTCAGGGATGGGATGGCCACCACCGAGTCCGAAAGGATATATTGGCCGGGGCTCGCATCACGATCTTGATGTCACAAGCAGAGCTATGCTTTCCCATCGCCTTCATCCGTTGATTAGGCTCAAGCACGGTCACCAGCGCTGAGAAAACGTCTTTTTGCCCTCCCATTCGATTTGCCCACCACCGTCATCCAGTGTCCATTTCGTCCCCGCGTGTACTCGGGCCACCTCGGACGCTGTGGAGGCAAGGAATAAGGAGGAGACCCTCCCCATTTCTGTCCTGTACCTCCACGCTTGACTAGTCGTAGCCAATTCCCGTGTCTCCATGATGTTCACGCCATCTACGATATGAGAATCCCGCCTGTAGAAGTCATTCTCAGTTGGCCGACCCCAAACTTCATCAACCCAGTCACAAGAGGCCCGGCCAACGAGATCGTCGCCATCATCCTATTGGCCATCGCCACCATTATCATCGCCATCCGGATCTATACACGACGATGCATCACTAACGGGTTCGGCTGGGACGACATCCTCGTCGTACTGGCTTTCATTCCAGCTACGGCTTTCGTGGTTCTCGGAGTCATCGCTACGGACAACTATGGCTGGGGACGGCATATCTGGGACGTGCCTACCGAGAGGATCACAGTGTCACTCCAGATTGGCCTCGCCGGCCAAATCCTCTTTGACTTGGCGACAAGTTTCACCAAGTTATCAATGCTAGCTCTGATGTACAGGATTGCGTGTACGGCTTCGAACAAGCTCAGGTTGCTCGTTGTGGTACTCCAGGTGCTCATATCCGTCAACTGTATCGTCTTCATGCTGGTAGCTATGCTGCAGTGCCGGTAAGTGTGTCGTTGATGCTTTCTGGCGCCCATGACTGACGCATCCAAGGCCCCTCAAGCTTTACTGGACGCTCTCGTTGGAGCCCCAAAACTGCATCGACGAATCCGCCCACCTCCTCGTTGCCGGCATCATCAATACCGTGACCGACTTCCTCGTGGTTCTCCTGCCGCTCGCCCTCATGCGCATTGTATATGCCGACAAGCTCACCTCGAGACAACTGACTATTGTCAATATCTTGTTTGGTGCCGGGTTCCTCGCATGTTTCGCTGGTGTTGCTCGCACGTACTTCACCTGGATTATGACCACCGAGCCCGACGCCACATGGAACGCCTGGATCAACTGGCTTGTGTCGTGCCTGGAGCTATTCCTCGGCATTATTTGCACTAGCATCCCTTCAACAAAGCCATTTTTCAACAAGTACATTCCAAAGCTACTTGGCACCAACGCGCGCAGAACTCGCGCAACAACCGAGCCAGTCCCCACGGACAAGGCCACCACCGGTTCGGCGAGAACCAGTCAGATGTCGAATGAGCCCGAAGTGAAAGAGCTCGACGTAATTCCATCGAAATCCCCCGCAGCCAAAAGGTTTAGCGAGGCAACTCTCAACAAGCCATTACCAGCAGTGATGAAGAATCACTCGGTCTACACTATCAATATCCAACTGGACGAAGCCAGTATAGGACCCGCTGACAGGGTTTCCGATAAGACAACGGCACCCAGTAGTCGAACGGCGCAAAAATCAGACCTGGCCCGGCGCCAGGCCGTCAATAATTTCAGCCGCCCAAAGATCCAACATGTGAGGAGCAACTCAGAGCCCTCAAGTCAGCACCGGCCTAGCTTCAGCGCTGAAGACGGCCGGCCTGGCAGCCACATTTCCACTGCGTCCGGCGAAAGCAGTCGTCATAGTCATATTCTGTACGAAGTTGACGACATCTACCGTGAGAGCATTCGTCAGAGCATTGACGACCTCGAGGCAGGAATTCGCTACGGCACCTACGACCGCAGTAATTACACCGCCGTACCCGCGCCATTGCGGCCATTGCGGAAACACGCGAAATCGGGATCAGTCAACACATTCGGGGGCTAATTGACGGGCAAAAAGCTTGTCGAATATGTACAAACCTTGTTGACGGAAAGATCCATTGTTTCTTTGGGGTAAAGACCAGGAAGGGACGGCTAACGTATATTTGCTCGAGATTATGATACACCCTCAGGACGGCAGTTCCTGCATTTCACTTCCCTTTACGGCCACTTTTTATAGTTTCCCACTTAATTAAACTTCTCGGGAGCCAGACCCGAGCTTTATTGCACCAAATTACTGACTAAAAATCCCGACTCCTTCCCTGCTTCCCTCGTCGTGCCATCTTCCCATCCGCCTCCCATCTCATTTTCTACAAACCTCTCCGTCAGCCCCCACCCCCTCTTTTGTCGAACAGGGAAAACTCTCATCTCGGGCTCGTCCAGACGGCTGCCTGGCTTGGAGTCCTGATTGGCCCGAGCATGTTCAACTCACTCTCCGTTTCTCACAGAACACAGTCGACGGCCGCCTCCTCGGCACCGTTCCTGTTGGCGGCGGAGCGCAGGAAAAGTCTCTCTGCCGTCTTGTCTGCTGACCATACCATCAGCTCATCCCTTGCGTTTATCGAAGCTACAGCTGATCATCATGCAGTCCCCCCCCCCCCCCCGCTCCCCTCCTGTCCCCTGCGCGCTGCGCTCCGCGCGCCATGCCCCCGCTCGCCGCGGGATCCGCGCCCCATCCCCCTCCCCCCCCCCCCCCCTCCCCCCCCCCCCCCCCCCCCATTTCCCTTTTACCCTGACTCTGTTCGGCGTCTGCTCCTAGGCCGCATGATGTCTGGGCTCCCATCGATAACCCGCGTTGGCCACCTCGATAAGCCCATTCACCCACATCCCCGTTACATTCAAACCTGGGACGTCTTCGATGGTGACCGTCCCGCTCCTCGCAAGTAACAAGGACAATGTGATCCCAGAGAACCTGGTCATGCAGGAGAAAGACAGCAGTCCACAAAGGCCCGCCAACGTCCCGCTGCAGAATACAACCTGGAAACCAGAAGCTTTCATCAGCCTACCTCCACGTGGCAGGTCCAAAGTCCTGGACGCCATCGCCGCCACTTTCTGCGTGAAAGTCAATACTTTTCTTGCCAGCCGCGTGTGCAGTTGCGCACGGTTCCAAGATCAACCCGAATAGGATGAGCGAGGTGACGATCCTCAAGGAGAGGGAATGGAATAGCGGAAAGTGAATCTTTAGATCGAACGCTAGACATCATGAATAGCCCGTTCATGTAGTATTCCTGTTGAATGACGAGGCTCGGGTTATTAACGATACTTCTTCTCAGACTGGAAAGTACCATCACGAGTTGTCAAGTAAACTCTGTCGAGTCCCACAGGATCGCCTCCTTGCGAAGGCTCCTCGTGTACACACGCTTTCCAAGGTTCCCTGACCGCGCGTAATGTTCCCTAACGACCAGCATATACGCGCACATATTTATGTGTACACGTATGTAATGCAGGGCCAATCAGACGGAGCACAGGCAGAGTCAAGAGCAGCGTTAAGCTATAGCGGAAGAAATGCTATGATGGCACATCGTTTACAGAGGGTAGTCCATCCGGTGATCAAACTGCTCGCTGCATATTATTGCGAGAGTCTCTTCCGCGCGCTTGACCCCGGCACGCCTAGCTCTCGCGCCCTCCTCTTCGGCCCTTTTCTCCTGGAGTTCTGGAAACTCTGGGATTTGCCCCAAGGCAAAAAATGACGAGACAGAGTGTGCTCTCTCGTGCACCTCTCCGTCCATCCACCCCCATCCTCGTCCCGTCTCAGGCGCGCGGGCTTGCTCCCGCTTGCCTACCCCTCACATCAGACTCTTGAGTTCACCCTTTATCCCCGACCAAAAAACTTGTTGAGAATTCTTTACCGTATTGACCCGATGGTCCGATCATCATCCCGTTCTTGTCTGATGTTTATGGCCTCCAATCTGGGGGCATGCCGTTCATGCCCGAATCAGCGTCAAGGGTTGCTGCGCAGTCGGTGTTCAGGCCAGCCATTCGGCTTGCTTAGATCGGGTTTCCGAGTACTTTTGTAGTTTCCGCAGGTCACGACAGCCTCGTGCTCCATGTGTTGGCGACAAGTTGTGTTATTCTGAACCGGAAATACCAAGACCAGGTGGCTGATGATGTCATTGTTCGAACAACAGAGGGGGAAACGGTGATGGGATCAGAATTTTCTACAAAGAGACTCTCTCATACGAGCCGAGCCGTACGGCGAGATGTGTACTATATCATGATCCTTCCAAATTCTGGCATGCCAACCATCCACCAGACAGACTGTCATACGCGCCAGCGACTATCGGCTACGGTGCAATCAAATCCACGCCTTGAACCTGTGCTGCGAGCTAGCCATGCAATCACGATCACGTCCGCAGAGAGGGAGACCTACAGCCCTCCACCAGATCCAGAGAGCAAAAAGCCTAATCAACCTACACTTGCTTGCCCGCACACCTTGTACTAGAGGGATCATATGGGCCTCCAAATCCCATCTTCTCACCCGCTTCTCGCCCAACGTCCATTCCTGTATAAATCTCTGACCCCTGACCATGTCTCACGGAGCTCACAAGCGGGGAATCTCTCACCTCTAGATTACCCCTCTGCTGCCAGCAAGAGCTCTCCAGTCTCACGTCGAAGCTGGCGTTGCCCCCTCAAATCTCGATTCCTTTTGTCAGGATGAGCGACATTCCAATGGGCCTCTCCTCGTCGCTCACGCCACTTTTCTTCCGACCACTCAAATTTCCAAGCAGCCGATTGGCGAGGCCAAATATCGGAGCTAATCTCAGCCCCGAAAAAGGGTCATGATTATCGTGAAACCCCCTTTCA